TTGTTTTATTCAAATATTTGCTTCAATTGGTGAATTGACACCACCATCGAAATTTTCGTGTTACTTTCGGATGGAAGTCGGGGGAGGCAGAGAGCACAGCTGGATGCTACCGAGCGCGTACCCAGGTCACGGATAGGGGAACGGCGGCTAACTCGCGGTTAACTGCGAATAAGGTGGGTTTATTCCCACTGAATAAGCGGTCGCCGGACGATCAGCAGCAGTGCTCGAGGATGTGGTAGGTTTACCACTTGGCAAGGGTTCTCCACGCAAAACACTACAGTGCTGCGACGTGGCGAGTGTGGCCCGCCACTGAATACGACCATTGCTTCCTTGTCGAATTCCGTCTACCCAAAAAAGTCTTCCAGGGAAGGCGAATGAACCAAACGATCGGTCACCGACTTATCTGGAACACTACCGCTGCCTTATAGCTCGCGCTTGGTTGCGCAAAGGCTAGGGTGCACCCTCGAACAAGGCCTACACTGGAATGGGCGACCGAGTAGTACAACAGCCCACAATGCAAATAAAATGAACTTCGGTTTAAACAATAATTCGTTCTTTCAGTTTTCCTCACACATGAAAAAACGATTTACACCGTGCACTTTTTCCTTTTTTCCAGTTTTCCTTCCACCTCACACACCCCTGTCAAACATTCCTATTGTCTTCAGGATCTTCAGACAGTCGTATTAGCAGTTATGCCTCCGATAGAACTTTCGCCCCTATTCTCTCGCGTCCTGCGTCAAATAGCGCCCAATTCTTACCAAATACTCCTCCATCAGTTAAAGCTCTTCTTCGTCACCGAAGCCCGTTCAAGCTAGCCACATTTAACGTGCGCATTCTTGTATAGGACAACAGGCATGTTTAACTCGTACCGTCGAAACCCTAGAAATCGATGCGCGTTGTGTCCAGAAGTCCCGCATTCAGGACTAGCTCTGCCATCCGACTGACGTTCCCATCAAACCCATTCGCGAAGTTTCACTTTCTTTCTGGGGACCCTGAGGCTGTTGGTGTTGGTGTGGCCCTTAGTGGGAGGGCTGAAGCCGAGCTCCTAGACTGGATCCCAGTCAACAGTAAGTCATGCGCAGTGAGACTCAGAGGCTCGTGCAAAGTAAGCAACTTGTTTATCGTTTCGGCGTACGCACCGATTAACTGGCCCAGATACAGTCAGATACTTTCTACCAAGAGCTACACGACCTATTGTGTAAAGCGACTCGAACAGATACGGTGATTTTAACAAAAGAAATGAATGCTAGAATAGGCTAGTTGACTTCTGGTGAGACGCATCTGCGACGTCCTTTCGGACTAGATTCCTGTCGCACGGAATACGGGGAACGGCTGTTAGTTCTATGTTCTAACTATCGCTTATTCTTCACCAGTACGAACTTCAGGCGCTCCAAATGTCAATACGCCAATTGGCATCCATCCTCCTCGAGTCAGCGACATACGCAGACCGACCACATTGCTATAAGCCGCAAATGGCAGGGTTGCATACAAGACTGCCGATCGGACTAGAGCACTATCCCCGAATCCGATCACGCATTAGTTTGCACCAAGCTGTCCATGTGCTTCGGTGGGCGTTCTAAGCGCACGACACAGCATGCCTGACCGTCTTTTAGCACTGGTTAGCTGAAAAGCTAGAACCAAACCCACCTAATAACATCAATCAGGAGTGTCCTGCATTTGGCCGGGTTAGTTAGTTGTAGTCTAGCACGTCGTGTTGTGGCACCCTTGATTTCCGCTGAGTCTCTGTACCTTCTAGATCCACGTCGGTCACTTCCGACCGGCAGCGAGCAGAACACAGCACGATTTGTAAAGAAACGTAAACTTAACGTAAGCGTACACAGAGATCGAGAAATCTGGTGGTTTCAATGCGCATCAGAGATGGAACGTGCTGTCGTTTTGGGAAATTCCCGTAAGCTGTTCCATCTCATTCGAATCATTGGTAGGAAAACCTTGGATGTGAGCGAAAGGACCCATGAAGCTGACGACTCGCTTATTTACAAGCAACAGCTACGTCTTGAATGCTGGGCGGAGCACTTCAAAGAACAGTTTAGCTTGCCTCTAGCGTAAGCTTCTCATACAGCTATCCCGGCACACATCCCATGGTTTGGCTCAACAAACCTACCCTCTGAAGAGGGAAATCTGTAATGAGATCTAAGCTTTTTGACCGCTGAAAGCGACGAATTCCAATGGCCTTGCTCCAGCTCTATTTTAAGATGGTGGAATGGAGCTTGTTAGAGAACTACAAGTCCTGTTCTATAGAGTATAGCATACTGAGCAGGTCTACTCCTCGTGGGGGAATTGATTGTTGTCCCCATCTTCAAAAAGGCCCCGCGCAGTGACTGCGCCAGTCATATGGGTATAACCTGAACCCGATAGCGTCAAAGCTTTTAGCGTCCGTCATTCTTTGTAGACTGTGCAAGACGAGTGAGGAACATGCTCGCGAGGAGTAGACTGGGCTTCGCACGGAGCGTGGTTGCATCGATCAAATCTTCACCCTCCAACAGTTGTTAGAACACCGTCACGCTTATCACAGACCAACGATCATTGAATTTCTAGGCATTCGCACGATCTTCGACTCCATCGATAAGACCGCACTACGGAACTGTTTGTTGAGGAATGGAGTACCTGAGAAGTATGTGTCGATCCTCAAAAAGTTGTATTGTCACACCTCAGGTCGGGTTAGGGCCTATGGCCAGCTTTCGCCAGCGTTTGCTGTCTCCAGTAGAGTTCGACAAGGCTGCCCTATATCCCCAATCCTTTTCAACTTCGTGATAGAGGATATTCTGCAGTACGCCTTGCCCGGTTTAGAAAACGGTGGAGTCGAGCTCCGCTAAGGGGACAGAGTTCTTGACTTAGAATAGACGATGACATCGCCTTGTTCGGTGACAATACACAGACAGTTCAAAACGCTTTGAAACGCTTGGTATCCAGGTATGGTATGTGCTTGCACCTTCCAAGTGCAAATGGATTGTTCAAGACTGCCCGGAGTCTATGCCTGCACTTACTGCTTCTGGTGATCAGGTAGAAATGGTCGAGAGCTTTAGGTACCTCAGGAGCTTAATAACGGCTGGATGTAGGTTTCAGAAAGAGATCACATCAAGAATAGCGAAAGTTAGAGAAGCTTTTGCCAACCTGCGACACCTGTGGCTCCGCCGTGACATTCGACTGTCCCTCAAGGAAAGAGTATACATCGCCGCGGGCCGTTCAGTAAACATTTGAGGCCAGTAAATGCGGTTGGATGATAACAGAATTGATTGAACACATCATACTAAAAGCCGAAACCAAGTTCGAGCGCACGGCTCTTTCATCTCTGAGCTCACTATGGAAAGTGGTGGGCGACAGGAGTGCTCTTTCTTTCTTCTCTTCTATTTAACTTCGTTATAGATCTGAGTCCTGAAGCAGCCTTGTCCCCTAAACAGCCTTTCTAATTGTCAGCTAGATTGATCCAGGAAGTCTAAGGCGACCAGGGTAGCTTTCATAACCTCATGCCAAGTCTTTGAGTGATCACCCCTGACGATCTCCACTAATTAACTGCCACAACAAAAATTGGCGACTGGGCGAACCATTCAGAGACATGCGTAACACACCAAGACTATGTAAGAACAAAATCACAGTACGAAAATTATTATAACAAGAATGAGGTTCATAAATAATAATCCTTACAGTGTATAGGTTGACTTTAATCTCACAAATACCAGGTTTTATCTGGTAGTCATGGCGTATCAGGGACAACCTTCGTTGTCGACTTAGGTTGTGCTCTGAATCAAATTTTTCTTCTACATGAGTGTTTTCTAACTATACCAATCTGGTTATAAGATCCCATAGATTCTGGTCGAAATTCGGGGATATGGCTAAAAAGGGCATGTATTGAAAACTCCGTAGGATGAATAATTTAATTGAATAATTTATTCGCGGAATGTATTAAGAAATTAAACTTTTTTTAGTAAACTCACTTGAACAAAGAGATGAGACGGTGCCTGTCGCCACCATCAAGAATCTTACAGAAAAAAATTCCGCGGCTCAAAGCTGCCAACCAGCATAAAAAACTAAACCACTTTGCACGTCACGTACAACTCACCTTCAACGGTTCTTCTGTCGAGTCCCACCAAGAGGAAAATATTTTGAATGCTTTTCCCTCTACTATCCGACGTGTAACATCACGATGCATTATCTCCTTCAATTCATCCACAAATAAGGTGAAGAGGTCTTGTGTTATCATGGTGATCTCAACATAGTCAAGGGGTTTCGAAGGTGTCTTTAATAAAGGTGCCCTGCTAGATAAAGAGTTATTAGGACGTAGTTGAGTTGTGGAATTCGATTCATTTGATTTATCGGGAGTTGGCAGAAGTGTGCGACGGTTTAGAGACGTGTTACCAGAGTCATGTTTTCTTGTATGGGGTTCGGTTATGCGATCTTGAACAAACATTGTCTGCTGCGATCCGTCGCTAACGGCGCTTGGGGTAGCACAGTCACCTGCTTCCCTGGAGGCACTGTTGGTCAAAGGGGAAATGTGATTATGCGGTTCTTGTGGAACTGATGGGTTTGATGTGGGTTGCAATTGATCGGAACATCCAATATGTGCGGGCTCATTGGACGTATTTGTATTCAAACAATTTATTCGGAGTAATTTTTGTATACGAGACTCTAAAGATTCTTCGGCATGACAAGGTTCAGCGTTTATTCTAGAGCTTTTTTTTACGCAGGCATGAGTAGACGAGCATTCTTCGGAAGGATCGATAGAAAAACCATGCTTCAACCTATTATCCATCAGATTCGGAGTTAGCTGGTCTCTGGACAGACGATCGGTTGATCCGGGATGTTCAATTGGAACATTCTTTTCACATGAGCCGTCCTTCTGATCAGCAACCAATTCCGACCCAGGAACGCTAGGACCCCCAAAAAGATGCGAGTTGAATGTGGTCATGCAGTGTGACGGAGGCAAATCTCTAAGGCTAGATGACCGAGCTCTTTCTGTCTTCTGATGTGAAGCGCATGATCTTGGAATCTGCAGCATTGATGTTTGGGAATGAGGTGTTCTTAGCTCACGATGATCGAAATGTTGATAGCCAATCGCAGAACATGAACGCATAGATGATTTGTGGTGGGCTGTCGCGTCATGAGGGAGAAGATCAGCCATTTGCTGAGCTAAAAGACGCAGTCGATTTGCACCTGAAAAGAAGAAGCTAGTAAATAAGAAGACTCTTTTACCTAAAAAGTCCACCTGAACATCCATGATGTTTCCCATTTTAGATGTTTGGTGCAGTGCTTCTGCACAAGCTTTAGCACAACGGGAGCTTTGAAAGACAACCTATGAGAATGTATTGAAATGGCAAATGAACGATCACTTACCGTCCCGATTCCCAAGTGCCGTTGAGTTTTCGGATGGTAGTATATTTTGGCTTCTTCGATTACACCAAATGGTTTACACATTTCTTCAAGATTTTTATAGCTGATATTATCGTTGAGATTTGAAAAAGTGACCTCTTTTTCCGGTTTTTCTCCAACGTAGTATTCGTCGATCTAGGGTAATATTATGTGAGAAATAATTTAATTTTTACCTTGAAACTTGGTACAGGAAGGTCAGCCACTGGCTTTCTGTACAGAGAACGGAACTGGACAGAGGGTCTTGGGTCTACGACCGGTTCCAGGTCGGGAACACTTTGCTAAGTGGAAAGATATATTACATAATGACAATTTACGCCTTCAACAACACCGTCAATACGCATTAGCGGTACACGATAAGCTGGGTTGATTTCCGGATCCCATAGTAGCTTCGCAGCAACAAATGACGGACAAGGAGATGCATCTTTCATTCTTCACTAGTATACACCAAAAATGTATAAAAGATGTATCCCAGCCTGCAAAAGAAAGATCTAACTTTATAGAGACAAGCGTACACAAAATTCGAGCCCCAAAGAGACTAAACCTAGACATGGTGTGATGGCTAATATATTTACCGCCGGTTTGAGAACAAGTAAACCGGTGATAAATATATAAGCATGATGCCAACGCAAAAAATAACAATTGCAAAAGCGCTTGGTATTTGGACGGTGCAAAGAATACCAAATTTGAATACCACGATCGCCAAGTGGTTCAAAGCATGTTAGAATACTTGTGTATTGTCACCCAAGGCGATGTTATTGGCATAATCTAGATCGAAAAATATGTTCTGGGAGGGGTTCCATTCCACCGTTTGATGGACCGGACAAGGCATTCTGTAGAACACACTCCGTTGGTATTGTCCACGGATCCCACTGAGTGACGAAAGCTGGTTACAGACCCCAACCTGACCTGAGCTATGCCAGTACTGACGCATGCATCTTAGGTACTTCATTTCGAAACAAACAGTTTCATACAGTTGAAGACCATGTGGACGTCTAAGAATACAATGATGATTGGCCTTTGGCAAACATGATGGTCCTCTGACAACTGTAGAAGGATAAAGACGTGATTAATGCATTCACGACCGGCGCAAGAAACAGTCTGCTCCTCACGGACATCCTCGTCAAACGCAATGCGCAACCTCCAAAGAAAGATGGACGCGAACCGCTTTGACGCTATTGGGAATAGACTTTTGCCGGTGGTTGATGCAGTTACTGAGCGGTCTCTTCTTGAAGATGTGGATAATAATCGATCCCCCNCCCCCCCCCCCCTCCAGACACACCCGAGGATCTGTTCCAAGTACTAAGACTTGGAGAACAGAGCTCGCAGTTCTCTAACAAGCTTCATTCCGACGTGAGTGAAGATGAAGAAAGGCTTTCAGAGCCTGATGCTTAGTTACATCTTAATTTACTTACTTAACTGCGGCTGGCCCCTTGGAAAGGATAAGCCAGCTTTAGACATGATCATGGTCGTTTCTTGGGATTTTGGTACGTTTTTTTTATTTTGAAGGTGCACCTCTAGCCTTTGCACAATCAAGCGAGAACTGCAAGGCAGTAGGAAGTTAACCCTCGCCTCGGAAGTGAGAGCGGTCAATGACCTCGGTTTTAAAAGGCCAGTCACATCGACCTTTGTCACGACAACGTCATTGGGCTTATGTGGCTTTTAAACAGGAGCCAGGTGACCAGCCTGAAACCCACCACGCCCTGGCAGTACCGCCGCTGTTTGTTCGCGACTGCTTATTTGTTGCGGTACGCCACAGATAACCTTCTTCGGTGAAGGGATCCCCCTATCCACAACCCGGGGAGGTACCTGGTAGCATTCAGCTCTGCTTAACCCGAGGGTATCCAGGACTTTACTTTGCTAAGTCTCAGGAGTTGGGTTTCCTCGCTGATATCCATGTTTTGTGATGAACAGCAGACCCACAGTCACGAGGACTTGCTGCAATGATAAAAAAACGGCATTCTGAGCCCCGGGATTTGCAGCGGCGAACCACATGAGGCCGCACTAGGTTAGGCGTGGTGTTTTTCAAACGGACTACGGGACGTATGCTGAAATTACTGTGAGAAGTTGAAGATGCTGACCAGTTGAAATATGTTGTAAAGCCCAGAGTGCGAAACGTCTCCGCTGATTGCAAACAGGCAAGTCGTCAGCTTCACAGATTGTTTCGATCATGCCCACCGGAATTTTTTTAATTACACACGAAGTGATTTACAGCAAAAGAGGTAAACCCATAACCAACGATATAGTTCAGTGGACTAATGATACAGAGAAATTAAGAAGATGTACGAACGCCATTGTTTACCACACCCAGCTATATCGCTCAGTGTCTCTAACCATCGGTTACGATCATCCCGAGGTCCCCAAATAGGGATCCTAACGGGACCTATGTGACCCAGACTCCTGGTTAAGGTTTTCATACCCTCATGCCAGGTCTTAGCTTGACCTCTCTGGGCTGCTTAGATAGCGAAATTTGTGGTGAGCGGCTCTGCCGTCGCCCGGCTTACTACCACGCCTGATCTATTGAAGCCTTATGTGGTCCGCCACTTCAAGTTTCAGGAACATGGTTGCCGGTTTCCTCACGACATAAACATAAATATACAAAATCACACACTCACGTACTCTCGCTCGATCTATGCACTCAGACTGTGAATAAGTACTCATCAACTTCACCAATAATCGCGGACTGAACCTCTTGGCTCATCAGATCAATGTACTGTTTCTTGTTCTATTAGGTTTTCAAACTCCGAGTCAGCACCCACCTCGAGACGCACATTCTGGCGTTATAACTCAGCCAACTAGGACGGTTTCCGTGATTTCCTAACTGCTTATCCCTGGAACGATTGCTATTTCTCTTCGGATGTTTCCTAATCGGTTGCCAACTTCACCCACGTTGTTCTTCAAGGTATGCATCTTTTTAATCCACACTTCCAAACCCAGCAAACCCAAATCCCCTGAGTGGTTTAACCATGCATGTGACCGTTCAGTCTTCCGCCGCTGGCTCCGCTCGCCCATTCCCTCTCCTACCATTGCTTCGTGCAAGCTAGGAACAGATGCTCGACGACCATTCGGAGAGCCAAATAACGCCTCGTTCGCTGTAAAGCCAAAAATCTGGTCTCGTCCACCACCGGTAACCGAACATTTTGGTCCCTTGCCAAAGCAATTTCCCGTAATTTCTGCTTCCTCCCTATCTGCAATTCCTCTGGTGATCTTTTATGTCAACCAAACGAGAAACCTGAGGTTTCGCTTCCCAGTTTGCCGCCAATTCCACCTTACCCCATTTTTCTACACCTTTCTTTTCCACTGGCAACCCTTTTATACGTCATAGCAGCATTAGGAAAATCCGTCAAACATTGCGCTCTCTAAACGCAAACAAACCTCCCGGTATTACACCCATCGTCCTTAAAATATGTGCTCCCGAGCTGGCTCCTGTTTTACGTCGTTTTATCAGTCTTTTCCTCCAACTCTCTTCCTTTCCAACCCTTTGGAAACATGTCGTGATTTTTTCCATTCCCAAACGCGGTGACCTTTCTAAGCCCAACAATTACTGACCCATTTCCCTCACAGCTGTTCTTTTGAAAGTATTTAAAACTATCATTTTTGATCAGTTACGCACGTTCCTTG